CTTTCCCTGTGAGGCACAGGGAACGCCTGTCATTCATGCTATTCCCCTTTGAGCATCCCAAAGGGCAGTATTTTGAAATGTGTTTAAAGATCTTTGCAACTCTACATGCCTCCTGTGAAAAGCTTGGGTGCTAAGATATGCTGGCAATAGCAGGTTTTCATAGAATATAAATGAGGGCTAAGCCACTGTTGATCTTTCAGTTGGTTTGTATTTATTCCAAATTGTCAAGAGAGCAGAGATTACGGGATGTAATGAAATGCCATCAAAGGGGATTGGGCTGGAGATGCAGTAAAGGAGATTTTCGGATATTGGTTTAAACAGAAATGGCTCCAATAAAGTCAAGCTATGTCTCAGATGTTAACCCATTCAGGGATTTTGCACTGCCTGAGCTAGAGACCAAAAGGCAGGTCCATGTTTAAGAAGTATCATACTGCTGTTTTAAGAACCGTGGGTGATTGGGATACGGAGTATTTGCTCTTCTGGGCTACTCAAATAAACCTAGCCAGAGGATGCAATGCAAGGAATAGTCAGGCACCACCTGTTACATCTAAGATGGAACCAAGTCTCTTGAAACATGTGGAAGCTTGAACCTCCCTGCCCTGCAACGGCCTTTTTACTTCAGTGGTAAGACAGGCCCCCACCCTGAAGGGGGAGAGCTGGAGAGAAAGCTATTCTGCTCCCATCTCCCTAGAAGCACAAGAATCATCCCTCCAACTCTGTGTGCAACAGATACAAGCTACTATAACGGTTTAACTTGGTACGGGCCAGAATCACCTCTGATATAATTCCAAATTAAAACAAGAACCTATTTAGCCCACTCTCTTTTTTTTTCATAATCTTTTCACAGAGGACAGGCCTCTGCCAACTCTCAGGCTGCAATTAGGGAAGAGTCTGGATGGAACTGTTGGCAATATGTTTGCAGAGTACTAAATACCATTGAATATGTTCTGTAAATATTTACACTTGGAGGAAGAGATTTGTTCTTTGCATAGTTTGCATGTTGGCATCTGCTCCGCTGAATAAATTACTAATAAAAAAATTACATTATGAAAAAACACCCATGCTTGTTCTTTGGGGCTATTCCATTACAGACAAGGAGGAAGCACATTGCTTGGAAATTACACTGTACACAAAATTTTAGTACTGGACTATGCACCATTGCTCTGTGGAACTGAGGCAGCACGCACTGCCAGAGTACAGCTTTTCCTAGAGAGGAAC